TATTAAAATCGAATATTTAAGGGGAAAATAAAATAAACTAGCAGACTTTTTAAGCCGTATCAACACAGACGAAAACGAAATAAACCTGACCGAGACGTTCAGCCTTAACGAAGGGAGAGAATCGACTGACACAAATAACAATGACGAACACGACATAAACACTATTGACAATATCTCTCTGCAAGCAGCAATTCATTCGCAAGAAGAAGAACAATTCGACCATATTCCAATTTTAGGAACGGTAGTTAATAGATTTAAAGTTCAAATAATATTCACATGTAATTTCACACGAGAATTCGAAAACTTTCCAGACGGAAAAAGACGAAGACCTAACTTAAACGAACAAGAACATACCAATAAACTAAAAACTTACATAACAGACAATAAAACAGCAATATATACACTTACACAAGCATTAGACACTAAATATAATTCTATTCAACAAATTTTAATTAGACAATTTCCCAATACAAAGTTCCTAAAATGTACCTACTTTGCACAGGACGTAAAAACAGAAGAAGAACTTATAAAAATTGTATTTCTCCATCAAAAATAACAAAAGCATCCGGGAATTATTTCATTATATGAATATTTAAAGTACTCGTATTGAGTTTACTACAAACAGTTAAAATTAATTATTAACAAACTTACAAACAACTGCGAAATTTGCAATAAAGGCAAAGGTGATAGAAATCCGATAAAACCTAAATTTAAGAAAACTGAAATCCCATCTGAAAAAAATCAAATTATACATGTCGATACATATGCCAATAGAAAACATAATTTTATTATATTTATTGATAAGCTTACAAAATTCTCAACTGCCTATGCATTAGAACATAAAAACCATACAGAATTGATAAAAAAATTAAGAATTTATTTTAATCACAAAAAACCCAAAAAAGTAGTGGCTGATAATGAGTTTAATAATATTCATATTAAAGAATTCCTAAACTAAGAAAACGTAGAAAAATCAAATTATACTATAACGGGAAGATTACGAATATTAAACTTAGAAGAATTACTACCCGTTAAAATGCTGAACGCAATTAAAAATTATAACAATCTATATCATAGTGCAATAAGAACGACACCAGAAAACGAGGATAATAATCTTGTCTCAAATTAAAATATCTACAATAATCTAATTAAATCTCAAGAAAAGCAGTAAGTTAAACACAATAAAAATAGAGAAAATTACACAGAAAATCGAAAAATAGACTTTATTAAAAATTATAAGTCCCTCCGACGTAAAGAAGAACCAAAGTTTAGAAAATATGACTTTACCAACATAGATCCTACTAACATTAAATGACCTTTAAAATTTTCAGATAATAATGACAATGAGACTATCTCTACTATTTCTATGGCTACCTTTAATACAGTCGAATCAACTTCAAATAGAAAAAATTGAAACAGACAATGGTTATACTATTATTCAATATAACAAAATCCTAATACGAAAAATATTTAATTACCCGTTTAATATATGTAGTTGACTTAAACTACATAATAAGCGAATTAAAACGAAGTTCCTCTTTACTAGACACAAATTTAAGCCAGCCATTAATTAATGAAATCGGTGGTTTACCAGACAAATTAGCTACTTTAAAGAATAATCATCATGCCAAACAAAAACGAGGACTTGCTAATTTTTTAGGAACAATTAGTAAATGGTTGACTGGAACTATGGACGACGAAGACAGACAAGTCATTAACCGACAACTTCAATTAATAGAACATAATGATCATAATATTATAAACAATATGAATCAAAAGATACAAATTAACAATAATTTAAATAACTCCATAAATAAATTACTAACAAATATTCGACAAGACAGACAATTATTTCAAAATTTACAAAAAAAAATCTGATATGGTCAGCACATAACCGACCGCAATGTGTATTGTCTAGTTAAGTAAATGTGTTACAGAATATTATAAAAATGTCTGTTAAATACTTCTTTCCAATTTTTAAGACATTAGTAAGCTTATAGTTGTAAATAAAATTTGGCTCTTAATAGAGTTTCGTTTTGTGCTATCCGAATTCCCTGAAATGCTCGCCAGTTAGTTTCGGTAACAACCAGAACTCAAATATCAAATTTCAAGAAATTCCATAAATTCGTTCGTTGATATTGTGAAAAATGTAAAATCGGCCCGCAGATCAGTTTTCGAGCCCTGATCTTTCCAAAAAATTTATATGTTCATTGTTTTAATGCGAAGAATTCAAATATTAAATTTCAATGAAATCGGTTGATTATTTCTCTTTATATACGCAAAAATGTATATTTGGCCCGTAGTAAACGCCCAGTTGCTGATGCCTGATTTCTTCCAAAAGTACGGAATTTTCGCCTACTATCGAGCAAAGCTTATATATGAAATTTCAAGTAAATAGGTTGAATATTTTCTTCAAAATGTTCAAAAATGTAAAACAGACCCGCTAAAAAGTGCAGTTCCCGAGGCCTCATATATCCGAAAAGTTGATCAATCCGCGCCATGATGGAAATAAACTTACATATAAAATTTCATCAAAATCGGTTCAGCAGAACTTGAGACACACGCGTGCACACACAGTCCGACAGACCGACAGACTGACAGACCGACAGGTTGCTAAAAATAGTTTATTTACACTTCCCTACTATGGAGAAGTGCATTCCCACCGAAAACTCGATATGTAAAATTTGTCAATGCTTGTCTTTGTCGTAAAGCTCTTTTTCGGCTAAATAGGTTTTTACCTCCAGGTCCCGTGTGAACTACTTGGCCTTAGTTGATATCGGTTTAGGGCTATTTCTGAATTCTTATATGGACGTCATCTTCCAAAAGTTAGCTTGAAATTTTTAAATAGTAAGTTTCTTTTAGTGAAATTTTTTAATAGTAAACTTGGGTCTGCTTCCTATGCGTCATCTTTCCAGTTTCTTGGTCGATCCTCAAGATCCTTTTTTTAGACGGTTTTGAGATTGTTGAAAATTTTTCAGTTGATTAGTCTTATTTTGAGTAGTTGTTAGTGAAATTTTCTTATTCTGTCGTCTTGCGACATTTTTTATCTTTTAGTGATGATTGCTTTTTTAGTCCGAATAGGGTTCCTCTTATTGTTTTTCGGAATTGTGCTTCCGACTGTCCCACTCAGTTTTCTCCATGGTGGCGTATTTCCGGATGTTTGGAAAATTCTTTTGTTACTCCATAAGAGGGGCCCGCGTAACTTAATAAGTTAGTATAGGTTCATCACTAAATTGTCTGGTATTTCTAAGCTCTTCGAAAAAATCTTATATGATTATTTTAATTCTTTAGTAGGCCATTTGTTCTTCCTAATCGGCAAGATTTTCAAAAGGGCCTAGTGGTCTGTAAATAACTCGGTTGTATTTGTTTCTGAAACTATAGTATTTCTTGAGTTAAGTAGTCAGGTAGATGTAATCTTTATTGAAATTAGTAAGGTGTTGAACTGAATCCTACATGATGTTATTACTTTGAAACTGAGGAGTTTTCTTTATTATGGCAACTAATGATTATTTTTCGTATGCCTCCTCTTTGGGCGAGTGCGGTCTGTGGCTGATTGTGTTGGCTTGCAGAATGATCAAAATAGGTTCGCGTTATTGTATAATATGAATGGTTTTGAGCCTTTCTCCAGGAGGCATTATTCTGCAAGGATAAGGTTTGATTATAGGTTTAATGGTCAAATTGTGGATAGGATTGATAAGATTTGTGATGTAGGTGTTACGTTGGACTGTATACTGGATTTTAAGGCTGAACTAAATTTGATGGTTAATAGGGGAATCCTTTTCTAGGTTTTGTCGTAAATAGTATAGTGAATTTAATTTTCCTTTTGTGGCGGAATATCTTTATGTTGCTTTCGTGAGGCTCGTTTTTGGGGTACGCATGTCAAGTTTGGTTTCCTCTTCGTAATGTTGATATTGATTTTATTGAAGCTGTACAGAAGCGTTTTCTTCGTTTCGCTCTTCATGGTATAAACTGATAGGATCTTGTAAGAGTAGGCTTCGTTTTTGGACTTAAGTTCGCTTCGTTATCTTAGGGTGTTTTCCGATATAGTTTTCATTCATTCAGTTACTATGGGTAATGTGGTTGGCCCGGTTTTATTGGGTCGAATTTCTTACAGGGCGAATATCAGCAACTTAAGGTCGGTCGGACTTTCGTACGTACTATGGGATGCACGAACCGGTGACGCGAATGTTGTGCGAAATTAACTCGTACTCGTCTGTTTTTATGACGCTTTCTTTTAGATCGCCGTACAGTAGTCATATGCGTTTGGTCTTAGCTATTTATTTCTCCCCCTTTTCCCGGAAGAAGATTTTTTCGCAGAAGGTGGCCCCTAACATAATGTAAGTCAATATTTAAATATTGCAATATTAATATTTTAATATTGCAAACCATTTCACTTGCATTATGCCACACGAAAAGTAGAAGAGAATCCAATAGAAGAGAAGCGAAATAGATTTTGAATAGTAGGTGAATTTTACCATTACCTCGTGTCTAAATGGCTTTGTATTTTATTTTAACCTATGATTATAATTGCAAAATTACAAAAATTTAGTTAATTGCCCTAAATTTAAAGTACAATTTTTTCTTTAATAATCTTATAATAATTTAAAATCAAAATAAATGTAATACTAAGACTGCTACAAAATGGTAAGTGTATGACAAGTACTGAAAGTTTGCGACAACAGCACTCTAAAGTACCACTTTTGTTACTTGCACATACACAAATGTGTGATATTCGATCTGCACTGCGTGGAAATTTTCTATACGAAAATCATTTAATGAAGGTAGTAGGCCTTCTGACTTATACAAAATCTAATACATATTAGTACTAAATTAAAGAAGTTGCCGTTTAACAATTTAAAATTTAAGTCGACTTTATATGTGTATATATGCAGTAGTCTTTTAAATTATTTTGTAATTAAAGTTATGAATTTTTATTGTTTTAACTCTTGTTCCCATTTTTTTGTTTTAAAATTGAGCAATAAAATAATTAAAACGCATAATTTTTATATTGATAATTTTGTTTTAGAAAATGAAAAATACTTATTACAATTAAATTGTTACAAAATTGATTACATACATAATGCAATATTAAATATAAACTAATAAGGGCCGTATTGAGACCCGTGGAAATATGCATTGGGATACATCTGTGGCTGAGGATATCCTGCAAAAGCCGGATATGCCGTTTGTTTTTGTGAATACACTACGATTGAAAAATGAAATTATGTTAAATGGTGAATTTTTGGTGAATTTTTTTGCAATATTTGACGTAAAAATTTTACCGGGCATTAAATACTGCAAATTCAATTGGTCTTCCTTTCCTCTCTCTGATTTCAAACAAATAGCAGCGCCTGATAACAATATCGATGATAATAAGCTAAAACCAACTCCTGCCCAAGCTACAATATATGACCAATCGTATGAAATTTTCGTGCTATCTTTGAGTATCTAAAATGAAAAGGTAATTGTATGATCATTTGAAATATGCCATCTAAGTTTGGTAATATAAAGTGATATAAAGTTTTTTGTTATTCTATAAGTATATAGTTTAAAATATTCATTTAATTGTAAGACTTACAGTATTCCATTGCTGATAATAATCTTCACCAACTACTTTTTCTTTTTCAAAGAATTCAACAGTATGCCAAAGACCCATAGCACCAGAAGCTAAAAGGCATGCTGACAACATTAAAAATGCTGTCGCCGTTATAGCACCTGATGATCGTTTCCAACATCCTGATAGGCCAGTCCAAAAGGCACAAAATACAACAACAAAGCTAAAACATTAAATTTTTTTGACAATCTTAATTTTTTGTACAAAATATTTTTTTCGTTAGTATTAATCAAATAAATAAATGCAAGTAAAATAACACCTGCTAAACCAAACGTATATGTATAAGAAAATTGCTTAGCAATGCGCACAGTTTGTAGAATTTCAAAATTTCAAGTTTACCAAATAGCATCTAAATAATACACGATTTTTCCATTTTATAAAAACATAAAAAATTCAATTAAATTAATTCGGCTCAAACAAAAAAAACTGGAATGTTGGCATTTGTCTTGTTAATAAAATGAATCCTTGTCTTGTTAATAAATTAAATTATATTAAATAAAAAATAGAAATTTTTTCTCCCTACGTTTGTTTGCCCAAAGTCAGCTTAAAAAGTAAAAATGACTAATTTTAGTTTTTAATTATATTTTTTTAAATAAAGTAGGAAAAACAGTTGACTCGACAATTACTGCTGACAAAATTACAATTTTTTTTTTTTATAAAAGAACGAGGAAGATTTTTAAAATTTTATTTTAATTCATTTGATTTTAGCAATTTTAAAAACAACAAGTAAAAAGATATTTTCAAAAATAGTTTTTTTATGAATATTTTAAAAATATATGGTTTTGTATGAAAGTTGTTTACTGATTCAAAATAGCAACCAAAAAATATATTGTTGCACATCTAATAATGATAATAAAAACTGAAAACTCGAACTTATTTGTTTTCAGTCGCAGTAATACTACATACTTTTAGTGTTTTTAATTTTATTAATGCTTGGCGCTTAAAACATTTTATTAAGGTTGGTTTTCAGTTAAAATTTTCAGTTTTAGATTAAAAAGTGAAAGGAAATTTTTATTTTCTTTTTTATTTTTCCTTTATTTAACAACGCAAACCCTCTTGATAACTTTCCACATATACATATGTGTATATAACATTAGAACCTTGCGCACATTCTTAAATATGGCAGTCGGAAATGAAAAAATGTTTTCATTAATTATATGCCAACATGTAAATGACATTCACGAAAAAAACATTCCAGGAAAAATATCTGTCTTCTTACCATTGAATCATCAAAAATAATTTTTTTTTTTAACTCAGATATTTTTGAGTGTACCTTAAAATGAACAAAGCAATACATGACCGTGCTAAATGTAAGCGAGAAATTGCATCATCATTTGGAAGTTGCTCTTTTTCTTCTTCAGGGAAATAATTAATATTTGAGCAATGGGTTTCAACTGGTGATAAATAAATATGAACTTAAATAGAAAAAAATATATATGTATTTATTGTATGAGCATTTTAACTAAATCAATGTACTTCTGTTTGCAGGTGGGCGATCCTTAGGATAACAGTACCTAAATAAACCTCTAGTTCTCGTGTAATAATAGTACTTAATGCTGAGATGTTCTAGGAGCAAAGTTGATTCAGGATGTTTCTCGGCAAACACCTACAAAAAAAATCAAAATTTTAAAAAATGAAAAATCATTAAATTATTCAGTATCAAGTATTAAATAATAGAAACAATATTTGCATAGGCTTTAAACTCTTTGAAAAAAATTAAAACAGAAATTACGCGTAGTACCTATTCTAAATTTCATTTCATTAGTTAATTTTTTCTTTTTCTTGATAATTTTATTTTCTACAAAGTTTTTTAAAATTTCAAAAAACTATTCAATATCATTTTTTAAAAATATGTTAAAGCATAACTTAAACTTTAAAACATAAAAATTTTTATAGCTCTGGAAATGTGTTTTCTTAAGAGAATTAATATTTTGTACCACACTCATATAACACCTGATTTTAGATTAAAATTTTAAAATTTTTCGGTGCTTTAAAGATCATATTAAAAGATTTATTAATTTCATTATTAAGCTCTTTATGCGTTACTCCGCATCATTTATTAAACTTTGAATAGCAAAATAATGCAATAAAATTGATTTATAAACCACAATTAAGGATTAGGGGAATATTCTGCATTTAATGCTAGTATAGTTTGAAGAAAAAAGAAGTTGTTAGCATAGAAGTAATAAGATTAGAAAAACGCCTTAAGTTCTATTTTTTTGTAAGCTGATTATTTATCATAATTCAACGATGTTGGAACTACCCTCTTTGAATTCGACAAAATGCTCACAAAAAAACATATATATTAAAACAGCTCCAGCCTAAGCGTCTATGTTCTAATGTAAAAAATACAAAATAGATTTTAACGAATTTGAAGTCGCTAAGAATAAATCTCACAAATATGAGCTTTAATTTGAGCAATATGTATTCAAAAGAGATTACATGAAGTTAGTATCAAAGCTAAGCTTAGATTAATTTCAAAATTTTGTTGGATCCAAATGTTCAAAGACGTGTCGCGTTCTTTATGAATCTTTATTATCATTGTCATTTTTGTGACAATGATAATAAAGATTCATAAGATATGTGAAAAATTTTTTTAATGAATAATTTTTCTGCCTTTAACTCGTTCCTTTGATTACGTCATCCATCTGTTCTGCAGTTGCATGAAGAAATTTCCATTAAGATAAAAAAGAACGGGAAAAAGGTATTGTTTTTTTCGAACACATGAAAATTGCATGAAAAGCGCAAATTATTCGTCTTCATATTCAATTTTTACCTACATATATATATATACATTTACGCATCAAATTTTCATCAAAATTTAGGCAAAACAAGCAAAATTAAAAAAAAAAGTTTGATAGATAAACTAACAAGTTCATAACATCGTTTTACGAAAAACATAGAATTAAAATCCACATATATGCAAAATTTAAAAAAATCAAACTAAGGTTTTACTCGTTTCGTACAAATCGACATATTGCTATCATAAACTGGAGCTTACGTGAAAAGCTTATACTGCAAAAAATAATCGGTAAAAATAAGTTCTTTTGGTTTTTCAAAAAATAATGCTAACTTCCAACGATACTTTGTTTTAGCGAACGATACTGAAACACAAAATTTTAACGTAAAGTAAGGTGACTTCTCGTGCTGTCAGGCGAAGTTTATACTTGAAATTTCAAGTTAATCTGTTGAAATTATACTTTCTTTTAAATCGTAAAAGTGTGAAGTATATTTATTAAATTTTTAAAGATTAGTTCCTGAGAGATAACATAACTTTATCATATAATGTTATACCGACATTTAAAATAATTTAAATACCGACATTTAAAATAACTTAACCCTTTTCCGACGGACGGTACTTACAAGTACCACCTTAAATTAATTCCATTTCCGGCGCAAATAAAAATTTATTTTTAAACCAAAGAGACTCACAAATGCCATATATTTCTTCTTGTGGTTGGCTGTTTTATTGTAAAAATTAAAAGCAAATTAAAAATATTGATTTTTTTTATTAGGTTCTATTGTAAAAATTTTTTTTCTATTTCGTAGTTTATATTTATTTAAACATATTTTTGAATTTGGAGTTGATAAGCTATTTTCTGTTTTCAAAAATATTAATTAAAATAAATAAATAATTTGAAATATTTAATTTGCCAAACTAGAAGTAATACCTACTTATTATCTATTTCAAGTTCCTGCAATCCAACGATACTTTTATTTATCCTAAAAATAAAACAAGTTTAGGAGAAACTTTATCCTAAACAAGTTTAGGAGAAACTTTTTTTGTTATTGTGATTGATCTAAACCTTAGCAACAAAGCCCATTATTTGAATTTTAATTGAAACAAAGCCCATTGTTTGCAATTTTAATTACAGTTTTTGCTCAAAATGTCTTGCTTATCTATAATACTTCTTTACCTAATAGAAAGGTTTGCTCAATTTTTCCATGAGAATAAATAATATAATTTGAAAAATGAGTGCTGAATTAATGACAGAGCATTTTTTCTATTTATTTAAAATTATTTAATCTGCAAATAAATTGATACATTAGAACTATAATTAGAAGAATTGCAATTGAAGCTCAAACTTGGTTCTGAGATTACATTCCACTATTTTCGTGATAAATTTATATTTTTAATGTATTGATTTTTATACTAGATTAAGTTTTATTTATTTGCCTAATTTTAATTATTATATGTTTAAATATTTTTAATAACTATAACAATTTAAATCATATATGCCACAATATTTAATCGTCAGGTTACCTGACGTCACCTACCTGAACAGCCATTTCATTTAAATTTTGAGATTTTATGTGTATAGTTATTGGACACACGTGTAAAAAAAATCATATTAATATCTTAATTAGTTTTTGAAATATTTGAAATAGTTTCCTTGAGTTTTATGGCAGTTTCTCCAACCCATTTTCTGAATCGGTCCAATTACAATAGCAGCTGTCCTCGGCAAAAAAGAAACAGTTCTTGAAAATTTGGTGATTTTTGAGTTATCGTGCGATCGCACGGACAAGCGGACGGACAGATGGACGAATATGGCCTATATTAACGTAGAATTTTACACTGAAAAAGAATACATTAATATCTTCATACCGTAGATGACTACATAAAATGTTTACAACATCCATGCCAAAGTTAATATACACTTCACGAAAGTATATGGTATAAAAATCAGCTTAACTATTATCTATTAGATGGTATTATAGGCTGTTAAATATCCCAGGAAATTACTTTCCTTGGTCAAAAACTACATTATTTAAATTTGTTTATAGGTTTTGTTTGATTTTATTAAAATTTAACAAAAGTTTGATTTGTAAACATCTGTGTGACTTTTGTTTGAAAGTAAAAGTAAAACGACCACTTCTCTTTAAATAAACATGAGCCAGGAACTTTTATCCAATACCTATCTAAATAAAATATTTCATCAGCTAAACGCATTTTCATATTTTGCAGATAGAAAGGTAACAAAGATGCGTTTTTCACAGTATTTGATTTAATCTTTTGTTTTAAAATTTTAAAATATATTTAGGCCTACATTTTTCACCTACATTTTTGTAAAGCACATGCACATATAGTAATTATGTGAGTGTGAATTAGAAATTTATTATAAATTATAAATTGTTATATATAGGTATTCTGCGATATGAATTATACATATGTGTAGCTAAATATTTCCTACTTATCGCACAATATGCATAGCTAAGTAAATACGTACATATATAAGTATAAATTGTATATGTATCAGACTAACAAATAAAAAATTTCAGGAATGCTGAAATACATTTGCAGTTTTTAATTTACCTTTACACTGTAACTGTTATTCTGTGTGAATTTATGCATATGAATAAAGTTGTTTACGATATTTAATTTACATATATATATATATATATCTATATATACATATATGTATACGTATGTGTAAAAAAATATTCATACACTTTTATATGTATAAATATAGTAATGATTTTTCATTCAAAAATGTTTTCACTATGACAGTTTTTTCAAAATATGGATCATATTTTATATAATTTACAATTTGTTGTTATTGTAGAACGTAAATATATAAAAATACTGTAATATAACAATAAAAAGTTTCACTTTTAGTAATCTTAACTATAGCAAATTTTAGGCATTGAAGTCTTTTGTTTGAAAAGGAGCTTGTTAAGGTTTTTAAACAATTTTCAAAAAATTATATTAAAAAAATAATTTGTTCTACAATTTTTAAAAATGATTTTTCAAATATCTTATCATTTACATTTACTTAAATGAAAATAAACAAATGATTTTCATATTCGTTTTTCCTCAAATAAATTCAATTCATATAGTAATTTAACATTTTAACATAAATATTTATTAATTTTACCTGAATATTACTTCTTTTGACTTCATAGTAAACCCAATTATCTGTTGAAAAAGCAATAGCTAAAAGAGCGACTGCAACTATTCCAGATATAGTAGCCAAAGATAAGGTTACAGCAGAACACGGCATTATAAAAGTTTTGAACTTTCAAAATTTCAATAAATTTAAATTTTAGAAATAACTTTTTTGATTTGAAAATATCCAACTTAGAAATATGAGTATTTGATATTAATTTAAAACAAAAAACTCTTAAACGAATCTTGGAATGGTGTACGTGTATATGCTACATAACTACTAAACTATGAAACAAGTATATTGAAAAAATTGTTATTTATCATTATATTGCTACTGGTATATGTACCTGCGAGAAAATTTTTCTTTTATTAATTGTTTAGCAACATAAAATGGCGACGCTGGCAATAGACAAATTTTGTTTGTGTGTTGAAGGATTGAAATGTAATACACATTCACGTTAAATGTCAAACGTAACTGACAAATCTAAGATTGCGTCTCGACTGTAGATAACTTATGTCATACCACATAGAATTGGCATTTATAGAGTTTTACAATATTGCCGAAGCGAACGTCATTGTTTTTGAATTCGGCTAAACGTTGGCGAAGCGAACAAAATAATTTCGAGAGAAATGTCAAAACTGGTAAAGTGCAAATTGTATGTGACTAGAAGTAACTTTCAAAACTTTCCTGTCATTTTTAGTTGAGAGTTTACATTATTTGAAGACTTTATGATGGAGGTTATTGTGAAAAAAAGGGAAAACATTTGTAGTAAAATAAATTTTAATTTTTAAATGTCTATAAGGTAAGTGTAACTAAAAAAAATTTTAATAAATAATATCTATTGCACGTAATAAAAATATTTGCTTTTTTAATGGCATTCATAAATTTTTAGTTGAAAAAAAAAAAATCTCGCAAAGTTCGCAAAATTAGTAGAACCAATACAAAGCAATCTGGAGATAGCTCATGATGGATTAAGTTCGAATTCAATAAAAGTATGTTGAAGGAAATGTTTGCAAATTTTGCTGTGGAGTTAAACACTTTGGGACCTCCAACAAAAAATTAGTTATACTTACTCAGTTACAGTAACTCCAATGGATTTTGTTGTTCCCTTATATCTTCGTATCATTCCAATATTTGCATTTTTCTCGTCTTTACTACTATCACTAATTAACTAATTAACTAATGGTTCATTCATAAAAATTAAATAAATCGGCACTCGATGAAAACCCATTTTCATTTATTTTATATCTTAAATATCAATTATATATAAAGTTATGGTAAAATGTTTATTTTTATAACCTATAGTTTTCACTTTGTTTACTTGTTTAGGAATTTCAAATGTCAATTTTTTTTTAAATCTCGATAGCAACGATTTTTTCCTAGCGAATTCAGCTATTCACGAACCATAATATCGTTTCGGAAAATATTTGAGTCAGCTATTCGTTTCGAGTACTTATTCGCTTCGCGAACGATTTTTCTCAAAGTAATTATATCCGCTTCGCGAACAATAACACTATTTAGGCGAATTCGAAAGCAACAACATTCGCTTAGTGAACCATAATAACCCCCAATAAAATGTGGAAAATCGCTCTTGTTTGTTATGTTTTGAACTTAAATTGTGATCAGCAAAGTTAATGTTTTAAAATTTATTTTTAATAGGTAGTTAAAGTATATATATTGAAAAAACAAACTTTTTGGCTAATTTTTTGTTTCCAACTAAATAAAACGATGGAATCGCTTTACAAGATAAAGCTTCTTTTGTAAAAAACGCACCATTTGAACCAAACATTTAAAAGCATTAACCATTGGAATGGTGAAGTTCTTGTATTCAACATAAATAACTATGTATACAGGAACAAAACTGTATATGTACCCTACTGATATACGCCCAATTATACTGTAGCAAAAATGCAATGAACCACAAACTGCTATATAAAGATGCTTGTGGTATTACGAAGTCTTATATAAAGATGTCTGTAAGATGATTATTTTCTAAAATAACTGAATACACATTCACAATAAAATATTATACATACTGTTTTTTACATATAGATTGTAGAGCGAATAAAAATTATTTATGGAAATTGCAATTGGGTGTAAACTCAGGTAATAGCATAACAAAATTGTATTTTATTTTCATATTTCTACTATTACTTTTTAACGTATATATATATATAGGTATTTATTATGCATTACTACTTTTTTGTTAATTTTATACTTTAATAAAAATTTGTTCCACAAGTAAATTTTCTCAAAATTAAAGCTCCCAAGAACTTTTGAGGATACTAAATTCCTGTAATACAAATTGACTCATAATTTGTATATCACATTTGCTTCAATATGTACATATACAGGGTGATTCAGAAAGGCATACAACATAATATACCATTGGTTTTAGGGTCGAAAATGGGTAAAACTTTTGTTCCGGAGTAGGTGTGAAATCTCAAGAGTTTTCGAGATACAGGGATTTTAACGAATTTTTACGAAATTTTTAGTTATCAAAGCGTTTTTGATTATAACTTCCGTTCCGAAAAAGACAGAGGCCTCAAACAAACATTTTCTGAAAGGTCTAGTGAAGGGCTTAAAATATACATCTTGCTTGTTTATGCATTTTGCGTACTTTCGGAATACCAATCGTTCAAACTTTAGGAAAAATCAAATTTTTCCCCTTTTTTATTTTTTCAGTTTTTTCTAACCAGGTAATTTCGTTCGAACATTTTTTGAAACTTTGAATTTTTTTTACAGAATTTTGGCCACTTTCCCAGCTTTAATTTAAGCCACTAAGTGTTGAAAAATTTTTTATGGTACAGAAGATATAGCACGAAAACCATTTTAGATGACAATTTTTTGGTTTTTTACATTTTATTAGGGCCCTTAAAATCTTGACATAGAAATGGTTTTCGTGCTATATCTTCTGTACCATAAAAGATTTCTAAACACTTGGTGACTAAAATTAAGGTTTGAGATAGTGACCTAAATTCTGTAAAAAAAATTTCAAGTTTCAAAAAATTTGATTTTTCCTAAAGTTCAAACGATTGGTATTCCGAAAGTACACAAAATACATAACCAAGCAAGATATATTTTTTAAGCTCTTCATTAGACCTTTCAGAAACTGTCTCTTTGAGGCCTCTGTCTTTTTCTGAACGGAAGTTATAATCAAAAAAGCTTAGATAACTAAAAATTTCGTGAAAATTCGTTAAAATACCTCTATCTCGAAAACTCTTGAGATTTCACACCTACTCCGGAACAAAAGTTTTACCCATTTTCGACCCTCTAACCAATGGTATATGTTGTTGTATACCTTTCTGAATCTCCCTGTATAGACATATTATTATGGGACATTCAACTCTTTTATATTTTTCTGTTTTCAAATAAATTTGGAAAGAAATAAAATTGCTATAATGTATCATATATAACCTATAATATTTTTCGTAAACGAATCACTTCACTGAACTTAACTGATTAGTTCACTTCTTCAAAAAAGAATCGACCATCGTTCACTAAAAATCCCAATTTTATTTGTTAGTTATTAAAGAATTACTGCATATACACTTTAGTGCCTATTGCCTAACATAAATGGAATACAAATAAAAGTGACCAAATTAAAATCTACCTAAACAAGAAAATTGAAAGATTGGACTAGTTGATTCAAGTTGAAAGCTACCTGCATTTAACTGGGCTACAATATGTTTTATATTTATGCGTAAAATATTTAAAAAAGAGTAATAATTATTATCGCTTTTTTACCTAAATATTTCAAATAAAAGAAAAAACTAAAAAAAAATAAATTATTATAAGTTAACATTCTAGCGCATGAGGGATCAAAATAAAATAATAAAGTAAATTAAACAAAAGCTTAAAAAATTTAGAATAGGATTTGAGTTTTTTTCAAGGATTTAAAATAAAGATAATTATAATTAATTTTATTCTATAAATTTCATATAAGGAATAATAAATTTAAACTCAAATAGTTTAAAATTTTTATTTCTTCAAATTTAAGAAATTACTTATAATTTCTTATAGCAGTTTTTTAAATAAGTTTAAAATTTTTCTCTACGTTTTAAACTTTTTGGTGTATATAAGTAGAGGCATTTTGTGGATTAAAACTTATTACTAATTTGCAAAACCCATATCACATATTATTCTTTTCTTCAAAATGTACCATAAATACGTATATCCATATAATTATAGCCAAAAAACATGCAATTATATATATAGGAGGGAAATGAACGAAATGAACGATTGAACAAATTTTATAATCGGAAATTAACGATATTGCCCATGACTAGTAACTATTGTCCTTTTTAAAAATGTCACATGATGATCGCGTGATTACTGTCATCGTTTTAAAAACCCTACCTTGCAAGTTTGACAAACGCCATTATTTTTATTTTGCAATTTAATTAGAAGCTGTTTTAAAAATGTCAAAAATGTCAAAATTGCAGCCATATTTCTGTTACTTGCGCATCTTTAAAAAACAATTGCTAAAATGAGCGAAATGGAATAGAATCCAAATTGAAGTGGAAAAAGCGAATATGATGCAAATGAAACTGAGTAAGTGTTGATTCTTTCTATATATATATATATAATATAAATATTAAATTACGTGATTATTGTAGAGGTACATTTTGAACCGCACAACGAGTACATGTTTGAATCATACTTGAATTTAAAAATATCATATGACTTTTTGCAAGTGTGGTTAATTTCAAAAGATAAATGATTAAAGTTATGTAATGTCTGCAGAAATCATGAGATCATTATATGACATTTTTAAGAAGGGCCTATACAACTCTTGTACAAAATAAAAATCACAATGTGAATATTTGTATTGTACTAGCAATAGTTTTAACAAATTTTAATTAGCAATAGTTTAGCAATAGCACAAAACAACAAAAAGTGTGTAAACTTGAAAGGTGGAGAAGGAAAACTTCACAATTAACATTTATAAACGAGCTTTAATGTTCAAATGTTCAAAAATTTTTGAATAAGCTTGGAAGCTCTTCGCGATTTGACATTTTATTCTTAAATAAATATAAGAAAAGAAATGATGTTTTAAATACATACTTTATTTGTGGTTAAAGTTACTAATCAAACTATTGCTTAGACGGTACGACATACAAAATGTTTTTTTTCTAACAAATTATTTATTATTTTTTTTTTTTTTTTTACGTAAAAAAGAGTTTAATTAATGTCTTTATATCTAACAAGTCCCAACCTATTTTATATAGGTTTTTTTTAATCGAAGTGGCTTTTTTTTGAGAAGAAATATTAAAATATATTCACACTTATTATAAAGCAGGTAAAA